CGTATGGTTCAAACTACATTTCTATTCTTGGTCCACCTCATCACCATCCACCGCCGAGGTACCACGCTCTCTTTCGACAAGAGAGGCCCGGATACAAGTCCGGAAGTATATAAGTGAACCTGTACATACCACGCATTTACGAGCGAAAGCAGTTTGGCTACAAGCTCTAAAGATAGTTATAGTTATGGGGGCAGTGGGGGTTTTTCGGTTGGGAAAGTATTGGCTGCTAGGCTAGGTGGAGGATATACCCGCATTTGGTTTCTCGAATGTTGCAGAGGATTGGATGGACACTTGGAGATAGATAGCGCAGAATTTGCTGGGTATTATTCGATTCTTGTCTGTATGTTAAGAACGTAGATATTAAACGCAGAAAGAGGACCTTTGAGTCCTCTCTCCATCCTATTGTCCCTGTCCAGAGTACCCGACCAGAGTGCAATGTGAAATGAGGTTGTCCAGAGCATGTAGATCTACGGCCCGTGGCGCTTGTAGTGCTATACGCCTCGATATGTGAAACAGCTACTGCGGTTTGGCGAAACCTTAATGCTGGCGACGAACACGCTGTTCGCGCATTCCAACCTACCAGGCGAGGCGGAACGCGAGATAGGGTGACAGCCGAGATGAGGATGTTGGGGGCGAGACTCATTCAATTTGACGTGCAGAGGTTGAGGTGAATAGTGCAAGGTGTTTATTGTGTATGCAGTGGTAAGAACAAATGGGTATCTTGGTTATGAAAGTATGGTTCAAGGGTGCCGGCTGCTGACCTTTGAGATAACCGGGCGCAGGCGACAGAGCGCTAGATCCCGGGCATCTGTGATGGCTACCGCCTCTGGGACAGCGAATCTTGTATGCGGGATACAGAGGAGACACTGGAGGTGCTCATCCCAGAGCCTTGACCTTCTTCTTCTTCTTCTTTGTACCATCCGCGGCCTCTGGTTTCTTTCCCTGTGCAAACTCCCTCCAGCTGTTGATGCGCGTGTCCCTGGTCTTCTCCCAAGCTTCATCTTGCTCCCTCTTCCGCTTGCGCTCCTTGATCTCCTCGTCTTCCTTCCTCTGTGCACGTCCCTCTTCTCTCATGGCAGCCTTCTGTTGCCTCTGCTTCCTCATCTCGTTGTCTCGAATGACCCAGATGACCTTCTGTCTCCACTCCTTCGCAAACTCCTCGCCACGCGTCTCCTCGTCGTCGGCTGTGAGCTTCTTCTCCCGCATGAGCAGCATGCGCGCATCGGCAATGTTCTCGTCTAGCTCGGCGCGCAGCTTCTCGTCGAGGAGGACGGTCTGGGCTTTCTTGAGGCGGTCGAAGGCATCGGGGGCGAGCTCGTTCTTGGTCTTGTCGGGATGGATGAGGAGGGACTTGGCGCGGTAGACTTTCTTGATGTCGGATTCGGGGATACCGGGTTGCAGGCCGAGGACGGCGTAGGCGTCGAGACTGAAGACGCTGCGGATGCCTGAAAATGTTAGTTTAAGTCGCTCCATAGTAAGAAGTGAGCATAGGTTTCAGCTTACGGTCTATCTCAGCGTCCTTGTCAAGTTCCTTGCCGAGACCTGCGAGCTGGGCATCGATATCATCGTCCGCCATGGTGGGTTGTGAACGCGTTGTTTGGAGCCGAGTGTGTTTAACGTGGTGTGAAGTCGATTGGAGGTGGGGAAATGAACAAACCGAATTATGCACGTCACACTAAGCTCTGTCGGGTGGTAATGGAGAGTGAAAGTGAAAGTGAAAATAGCAGCTCGCGATGCGATGGCGCGTGAATGCGTGAATCCCCGCGGCGATGCGCACGGACCCACCGAGGCCGAAAGTTCTCCACCAAAAAGTTCTCTCGCGATGCGCCAGTCGACATCAACACCGAAGCAAGCCGAAGACTCGATATCGCGCCGCCATGGTCGCATCTGGCATCACTGGTCGCACGCGGCCTTTCAAGCCCAAGAAGAGGGAGAATCTCCAGAAGAGGAAGCGCGACGATGTGGACGTGGAGAAGCTGGAGCAGGCCGTCCAGCAGCTGGTACGAACGCGCCGATATACAAAAGACATGGAGCGCAATAAGCTGACTGCATATATAGGACCCCAAACATGGCAACTACAAAGACTTCACCGACCTCCCGCTTTCCGACCCGACCAAGCAAGGCCTCAAGTCATCGCATTTCGCCGTTATGACCGACGTCCAAGCCAAAGCCATACCCTTAGCTCTACAGGGACACGACATCCTCGGTGCTGCCAAGACTGGTAGCGGAAAGACACTCTCCTTCATCATTCCCGTCCTAGAGAATCTGTACCGCCTGCAACACATTGGCCCCGACGCCGGCTTGGGCGCCTTGATCCTATCCCCAACTCGAGAACTCGCGATCCAGATATTCGACGTCCTGCGCAAGATCGGACGACATGGACATATGTTTGCGGCGGGTCTGCTCATTGGAGGAAAGAGCTTACAGGACGAGAGGGAGGCTCTGACCAAGATGAACATAGTCGTCGCAACACCCGGTCGCATGTTGCAGCACTTGTCGCAAACAGCAGCCTTCAGTGTGGACGACCTGAAGATGTTGGTGCTCGACGAAGCGGATCGAATCCTTGACATGGGCTTCCAGCGCGACGTGGACGCAATCGTCGAATATCTTCCCAAGGAAAGACAGACGCTGCTCTTCTCGGCTACCCAATCAAAGAAGGTGTCCGACCTTGCGCGCTTGAGCCTCCAAGACCCGGAATACGTATCTGTACACGCCGAAGACAAGAGCGCAACTCCAAAGGGCCTCACGCAAAACTACATCGTCTGCCCCATCGAAGAGAAGCTGGACACCCTCTGGAGTTTTATACAAGCGAGTAAGAAGTCGAAGATCCTTTGCTTTTTCTCATCTGCAAAGACTGTCCGATTCGTCTACGAGTCTTTCCGTCATATGCAGCCCGGTATACCGCTGCTTCATATCCACGGACGTCAAAAGCAGGGAGCTCGACTTGACACAACAGCAAAGTTCTCCGCGGCGAAACATTCCTGCCTGTTTGCTACAGACGTCGCGGCCCGAGGATTGGATTTCCCAGCAGTCGACTTCGTAATACAGGTCGACTGCCCCGACGATGTCGACACCTACATCCACCGCGTCGGTCGAACAGCACGATACAACCGGGAGGGACGAGGAGTGCTATTTTTGGCACCAAGCGAAGAAGAGGGTATGCTGAAGCGTCTGGAGGCTAAGAGGGTACCCGTCGAGATGATCAACGTGCGGCAGAAGAAGCGTCAGTCAATCAAGGACCAGCTACAGAACATGTGCTTCCAGGATCCAGCTCTGAAGTATCTTGGTCAAAAGGCCTTCATGACGCACGTCAAGTCGATATATCTACAGAAAGACAAGGAAGTCTTCAAGCTCAAAGAGTACAATCTGGAAGCATACGCCTCTAGCTTGGGTCTGCCAGGAGCACCAAAGATCAAGTTCTTGAAGGATGACAACAGCAGACAGAAGAAGCAGGCATCAAGACAGATGATCGAGGTTTCCGACTCTTCGGATGCTGAAGAGACGGCCAAGGCAGACAAGCCCGTGCGAACCAAGTACGACCGCATGTTCGAGCGCAAGAACCAGGACGTTCTGGGAGAACATTATCGGAAGTTGGTCAGGGATGGGGACGACGAGGGCCCAGCGGACGAATTCAGTGGTGCTGGAGCGACTACCAACGCGGCCGACGACGACTTCATGGCCGTCAAACGACGAATTCCAGCGGACGACGATACTGGCGATATTGACGCTGAGAAGGCTCCCGAAGTTCCGCCCGGTGGTCGCCTTGTTCACATTGCTGGTGCATCCCAACCCATCGTTGTCGACAGCAACCGCCGCGAAAAACTACTCCAATCCAAGAAGAAGCTCACCAAGCTCATGGACAAGGGAAAGAAACTTGTCTACGACGACGACGGCAACCCGCACGAAATCTACGAACTCGAAGACGAAGAGCAATGGCGCGCCAAGGGTCTACCAGAAGAGCAACGCCAGAAGTTCATCGAAGCAACACGAGAAGTCGTTCAAGCTGCTGATGTCGAAGACAAAGCGACCGCGAAAGCGAAGAGGAAGGAGAAGTTGCTCAAGCGCAAAGAAAGAGAGCGGGCTAAGCAAGCTGGTGAAGCTGGTGACGATAGTGACGATGCGGGAGTCGAGCTTCCTGATCCCGGTGAGGATCTTCTCGCAAACTTCAGGGCGGACGCAGAATACAGTGACGACGAAGACGAAGAACAAGAAGAGCAGCCCAAGAAGCAGAAGAAGTGGTTCCAGTCTGATTCCGAGGATGAGGAGAAGACTGAGAAGAGGAGGAAGAAGAAGGCTAAGGCGGCGCATAGAGTGGAGGAGCCGGAGACGCTGGAGGATATGGAGGCGCTTGCTGCAGGCTTGCTGAACTAGCTGTCATGCATCGGCGTGTAGATGTTTTTGTAATGCCATACGATTATCAAGTTCTTACCAAAGCTTCGTTCCACAATTCCTACGACGTTGACAACTGTTACGACTCTGCAACCTTCAAAACTCAATTATCACGACTACAAAATATCCAATCGGTGAACCCATCCCTTCGCCCCGGACCGACGCTTGCTTACCGAGACTCGCAGCCGGTCGTTAACGCAGCAGGGGTGGCTTACCATGCAGTTGGTATTGCCGGTATACAACCTCGCATGCACTGTATAGTGCTGAATCGGTAGGCTAAATGCATATTCGTTGAGCCTCCTTCACCCGTCTCCCGGTTACAATACGAGGCTTTACATGACGTGTAGATGAAAACGCATTGGTGCGTTTCTATCTTGGGAACGTGGTGGTGCGAGGGAATATCCAGGAGTACAGTTCGTATTCCGTGTAGGCGGTGGGTGTAAGAGTAGCATGGGTTATATACTATATACAGGGCCTGCGTTCCTGGGTTTTCTTGTCTCTTCGACCGATGGTAAGGCATTGGATACAAAGCAAAATCTTATAACAGCCCCGTGTGGTGTTAGTCTACTTCCACTCCGTCTCTTCTGCTATCCCAACGAACGTCCCTCACGATGCATCTCCCCACCCCGCTCCTCATCGCTTTATCCTCCCTCCTCACCATCACGACCAGTACTCCAATCCTCCCCCGCGCCGCCCCCATCGGCACACCCCACAACATCTACCTCAGCACCTGCACAACCCGCTCCCTCCTCTCAGACAGCACCCTCTCCTCCGCGATCCTCTACACCGGCCCCGCCTCCAGCACCTCCCCCACCGACATCGGCACCGTCTCTTCTTCACGCGCGATCCAATGGGCCGGCTTCACACGGCGTGTCGATCTCGAATCCGGGGTGTTTGAGTCGAAGATCAGTCAGAGTGCTGATACTTTTGCGAAGAGTGAGCTTGCGGGGACGGCGGCTTTGAGTGGTACGGATGGGGGCAAGGAGGAGTTTGTGTGCTTTAGGGATGGAGTGAGTACGTTTCGGTTTGGAGGTGGGGTTGTGGGGGATAGTGGGGAGACGACGGTTTGTGTGGCGGAGTTTTGGTGTGCGAGTGTGGGGGTTTAAGATCGGTCGTTGCAGGGTGTATGACATTGGATTGGCTCTTTGGATATGTACTGAGATGCAGCTTTTAGAAGTAGGGCTTACATGGCCTGGATAATGTGCTCTGAACCTGCCAGACGTCTTACCATGTTCGACAAGTTGTATTAGTTGGCAAACCACAAGTTCCGTCCATACAAAAAAAAACTTCTCCTCCACTTTTCAGCATTCACATGGGCAAAAAAAAGGTCAAAAACATACAACAGCGGGTATTCCCCGGTGGTCACCCACCCGAGTACTAATCCGCCGATATCTTGCTTAACTAGGGCTGAGCGGACGGGAAGCCGTGGTCTCAAGATTCTATGGTCGTATGTGGAAGAAATGGCGGAAGAAATCGTCTCTATTGTCGGGTTTGGAGTTTCTGACGTGAGGATGGAAGACGGAAAGCAGTAGGTGGAAGGCTCGGATCAATGTGAAAAGCATACAGCGGTCACATGGAGTTTGTTTGAGTAGGTGAGACACCTGTACTCCCGCGTTGTCGTTCCATGACAAGAGGTGCAATGAGACATGCGGGTGCAGTGGAGATACCAGATGTTGGTAGCGCTGCAACAGCAAACATCCCGCAGAAAGAGTGTAGAACCGCATACTATGACGTACATGACAGATCTCGTCTAACCTGCCTCATCCAAAACATTTCAAAAATGTACATTCCCGAGATCCCATTGCCAACCACACCTGCGTATGCACCTCCGGTAATAGTCGCTTTGGCGTTCCAGCTCTCCACACCCGCGAGCGTAGATCATCGAGACAACTACTCCACAACTAATTTCCCGTTCCTGAACCTGGCTTGCTTCGCTCCGAAATAGCGTACCAGAGTACACTTACATGCAGCTCGGCTACGACTGCCCATCGTAATTTCAACGTATGTGACTTCTTGGGACCGAAGAATGTCACGAACCACGGTACGGAAGTGCAAACTTATGTCCGATCGCGGGTAAGTTCCTGGCTAGAGCTCTCGGGCTGTAGTCTCGCCGGCGGTTTCCTGCCTTCTAAGCGACGTCATGGTCGCGAGCGTTACGGAGATTTTAGTTGGGGGTTGGTGTTTCAACTGTCTTGTAAGCCACGCTGAGGACATGACGATAGCGATTCAGGTACTACGTATACGTATCTAAACGGCTAACGGCACAACGTGTCCTCACCCGTTTTTTTTTCACATGATTTACAGCAATGAGCAAGAATGTGCACGACTCACTCGGTCAATCTCCGCGGTACCGTGCCACTTACCTCAATGTCACTATCACAATCACAACCTTGGAACGCATGAAGGAGCGAAAAGCGGAGAAATTGCACCGACGGAAAACAAAATAGTCCATCCTACTTGCACGAAGGCTTCGATGCGAAAGAAAAGCAAGCGGATGTGGTTGCGGAGCTGGAAGAAGCAGTGTTAAGTACCTAGCACAAGTGTCTGCAGCCGACCATCTGCGGGTGGCGGGTACCTCATCCTCCCTCTATGCTTCATCTACATTCCTTTTGCTTGTAGACAACTGCTTTTCTCCTCCCGCGGCTGCAGTGTTATGCAATGCACAAAGAATTCTCCATCACTCACTAACGCATGCAGCGACTGCACGGAATGATCACTCCTGCATTCCAACGTTTTCCCCACTATCTCACACAGCATCCACCCTCCTCTCACTCCATCGCTTCGGCGCATTTCCCTACCGTATCAACACGTTCGGCCCGTCACGAAGTAACGGCATCCCCCCTCCAAAAGTTTGGTCCGTTGAGTAATGCCTCTTCAAAACCACAGTCAACGTCCGCGGGTAAGGAAAATTAGCCCACATCGCTCGCGCCATGCAGGGGCTCAGGGGCTGGCTGGTGCGGCGCAGCTCGGAAGAAGGCGCCAAAAGGAACGACGGGAAAAAGGAAAATAGGGAAGTAGAAAAAGGGAAACGACATAACGATAACGTCACGGGTTTATGCGAACGGCTAGTAGCGAGGTAGAGGGGGTGTGGGTTACTGCTAGGGACGTTTCCGCGGGGGAGAGGAAGGTTGCGCGAAGGGGATTGCCGGGTCTTTGGATCGTGGGTTGGAATGTGGCTGGGCGTGTGGGAACGAGATGAGGATCACGAATGCGGATGTTGATGTAGAGAATGTACTTGTCTGGTTAGTCGTCAAGATTAGACTGCACGGAAATCAACGAAGCCAAAGAGGTGTGAACTCATGCCGAAGCATATTGATTCCATTTGCAAGTCTGCATAGCTGCATTCTTCTAGACTTAATGGGGTGTTAATACACCCAGTCCCTATGATTCATTATTCCATTACTCCAGCTGACTCCCGTCAGACAAGACATATCCAAAGATACAGAAGCCACCATGCCCTCCCAGCCATCGAACAAATGAGAAAAACATACAGAGTAAGAGGAAAAAACAATGTACTACGCTGAGCAAAACGACGTTTCGTGATATCCAGTCCTCCGTTAGATACAAAGGAATCCGGGGTGTGAGATCAAGTAAACGCTTTTAACTCCTTGGTGGCAACGCCCTGCGCCAATTCGTGATAGTATCCAAGATTGTGTGCCGTATTAAGATTATGCTTTCATGTGTGCCCATGAATGAGAGAGTGAAAGAAATAAAGTGGAAAGAGTATGCCGTATCGCCATAACAGACTGGCAAAGAATAAAAACGCATCGACGAAAAGTCCGGGTATAGTCAAGAAGCGAAGGTCAACGTTGCGATAAGCATGCTATCAGGATTGAAGCTACTACCCTCTAAAGTCCCCTGGTCCTTGGTTGGCGAAGATGTAGCTCTTGGGCTGGGGTTCGGTCGTTCGCCGTATGAGGTTTCCATGCGGATCCGTGCCTTGAGGTGGTGTGTACTGGTGTACGAGGAAGTCGGGCATGGCGGAGACTTGGGGCGCGAAGGGAACGTTGTGATGGATGCCACTCAATGACATGTCCTTATAGTCATCATACATGTTTCCGCCCTGCATGTACTGGACATTGCTGTCATCGCCTTGTGTCTGAGCTGTGTCAGGTAGCGATGGTCGCCTGAAGTGCGAGGGCTTCGGTTGTTGAATCGTAAGATCAGTTGTGGAATGGAAAGCTGCACGCATCTGGGGTTGCTGCATGTATGATGTTCGAGGGAAGTGCTGCTGTGTCGCTGGTGCTGACTGCGGAGGTGTGTCGCGGTACAAAGCGTCGTTTACAAAGCGCGATTGCAAATCCATGGACGAAGATGGCGGTGAAGTGCTCTTCGCAATCACATTTCCAGATTGGTCGTTGGACCAGTTCGCGTGCATGCTCTCTGGGCTGTTGTGATCCGGCATCGCAGAATGCGGTCTTATCACAGCAGCACCACCCCAATAGTTACCGAAATCTTGTGGTGTCAGAGGAGTTGGTGGTGCTAGACTACCGCCTTGTCCAATTGTGGTGGTGCTCGAAGTCGAGAACGTTCGTGCGAACTTGGGCGACGCAGCAGCATCCGAGAAGCTCATAGCCATAGGTGAGCGTTGTGCTGAACCTGGCTGCGACTTTTGGACACGACCTCCAGCATTCGCAATTCCAGTTGATCGAATTCGGCGGATGACTTTGTCGTTGTTGCCTCCTGGTGATGGCATGGGGGCAGAATACGAGGCGCTCCTCATTGCGCTGGAGTTCAGGTTGACTGGACGCTTCTGTCTTCTCGCAGCGATGCTCGAATGCTGATCTGATTGTTGGAAGCCCTCCGGAGTACCGTTTCGGATATGGATCGCGTCCATGTTGTTGGCCAGATTGCTGCTTGAAGAGTTTCTTCGGGCAAACGCATCCTCGCGGAAGTGCAGTGGAATGTCGAGATCAGAGGGCGCAGCACTGAGCTTCCGTGCTTGTTCCGGTGAAGTGAGGATGGCGTGTGCAGACGAGTTTGGCTGTTGGTAGAAGTTCGACTGCGGGTACATTTGGTTTGAGCCATCTTGGGGCCAGAATGGAAGCGTCTGTTCGGAGGCTGATGCCTGAGCAAGACTGTATGGTGCGAATTGATCCTCTGGTTCCTCGACCTGCTTGGGCTGTGCCATTTGCGAGGGATCCTCTGTCCAGCCGGTGTAGACCGAGTTCAAAGAGGCGATGGAGGGAGGTGTAGGTCCATTTGGCGATTGCGTGGTGCCAGATGACTGGGTGCCATTGTATGGGGACGCGTCCGACGAGATGGATCCTGTACTTTGCTGAGCTTCTGCAGATGTAGAGTTGGTGGTGTTGGTCGCAGCAAGTGCCGAGTAGTCTATCTGGAAGTCGGCGAAGTTGTCGAATTCTGGGTGTGAAGGTGCGATGTCGCTGGGCATGGACGCGGGAACCGAAAAGGCGCCTAGGTCGCTAGAGTACGCATTGGGCAGCCCGTTGACACCGTTGTTGTCGTAAGAGAAGTCTTGCTCTTGCGCATTAAGACCTATGCCACTGTTGTGCATGTAGGCACCGTTAGTCGCAGCCATGATTGAGTGCATGAGGTCGTTGGAGCGGTACGAGGCGGAACGGTCGGGCTCCGGGACTGCGTGGAGGGCGTTTTGCATGTCGTATTGTTGTTGCTGCTGCTGTTGATGCTGTTGGTGCTGGTGCTGGTGCGGGTGCTGCAGTATGAGCTGAGGGCCCAGGTCGAGGGCTGATGGTCCCTCGCCCGTTTGTACAGGAAGCGTTGCAGGGCTGATGTCAGCGTTCGGATAGTAGTCCGGCTGCATGAGCATATGCGGATGTTGCTGCTCTTGCGGGTGCGCGTAGTGGTTAGACATGACGGGCACGTGCTGGTGTCCGAACGGAAGGCTCATAGTCATGTTGTACTGGTTCATTAGCTTCTTGCGGTCCTGCTTGACTTTGGCTCTGCGGTTCTGGAACCAGTTCTGCAGTCGTGTTAGCGACGCACGGCATACATCATGACAGGACACTTGCGTTGATCTTGTCCAGTGGCACGCCGAGGCGCGTCGCGAACTCCTTCTTTACATTGGTACTGGGCTTGTGCTGCGCCAGGAAGTGCTGCTCGAGGATGTCGTGCTGGTCCTTGGTGAGGCGGGGTTTGACATCGCTGCCAGGCTGCTTGGGGGCAGAGGGTGCCGTCGTCGAGGCCCCGCTAGAATCCATGGCGGCGCGCACAGCGGCAATACAGGCAGAGCGGCTTCAGAGGGGCGCAGTGTCAAGGGCGACGAGGGCTGCAATAAAGTCGTCGGCGTGGGCGCGTTCGGGTAGTGACAGGTGGGTGCAGCTGTGGACGGCGGAATCTGGGGCGCTGGTGATGGGCGATAATGCGTAGAGCACGGATGCACGGGATGCACCGAGACGGGTCGGCGCTGGGATAGATATGTGTCGAGGGAAGATGCCAGTAATGGTAGCGAGCGACGATTACGAAGGGGAGCGAAAACAACAGCAGTAGACTCTATATCTACAATAGAAAAACGAGGGTATTCAGCGCGAGGGCGCGGTAGGGAAAGGCACGAAGCGAACGACGACGGAGAAGAAGAGCAGGAGGAGCGATCAGGTTGTTGGCTGCCCAGGTGCCGCTTGGTTGGTCGGAGGTGCTAACTTGCTAAGCCACTGAACCCCCCAGCATGCATTATGCTGCTCCGGCACAAAAATAGTTTCGTGACACTCGTCGTCTCCGCTCAGCACACCTGAATCCTGGAGAAGACGCACCGGATGATTCGATCTTCTGTTTCTTGCACCTGCTCGCCCTCGTGCTCCGTGGAGGGCGGCCACACGCTCGCATACACATAGACTCACAGCACTGGCCGGCACGCCCAACCCCGGCGCGCAATCGTGAAGCGCGCCCAGGGGCACTCTCCTGCCTCACGCCAATTGGTCCGGCCGTGGAGCGAGCTGCGGCGGCGGCTGTGATCCGCCCTCGGGCGGGAGACATGTCCCACTGATTTGAAGGCGATGGATGGTGCTGCAGCTTGGGCCTTCCCCCGTTCGGAGAATATACATGAGCGTGTGAGAGTGCATGTTAATGCCAACGCAGCCTGCCTGCTCAACCACGTTCCACGTCAAATGTCTAGTCACCGTCGGCGCCGGCATGGCTTCAACGTGGGCAACGGGCTCGAGCGCTGCTTTGAGCTGATGGCGTCAACATTGCGCTCGCCGTCGTGCCGACATCCTGTGCCTCTCACGACTCGCCGAGTAGCTCTTTGTCAGTAACCGCTTCCGGTCCGAGTCGACCATCTGTGTGACGAGATGCCCCCCGGGCGCATGGCCAAGGGGCATATCGCGCCGCTGATCTGCTGGCTCGGAAGTCGGCGCACATGTTTTGGCAACATATCGACGGTTCCTGAGCGTACCTTGCAGCAAAGGGGCTTCCGTACCACCTGCGAAACTCAAATTGGCCCCAGCTTGTCCTACAAACTTCGTGTGTTGACTGACTTGGGCGACGGATAATCCCAGCCTAGCTCGGAAGACTCAGTGCGCCCCCAGCTGGGGGACCCGCTGGCCCAAACCAAAAAACCTCGTGCTGCAAGGGCGTCCCTATCATGCGCTGCACCCTGCCGACTATCAGACGTCCTCGCCAACCCGTCTGAACTTAGTCTTCTTTGCGAGTCTGCTACGCCAGCTTTCGTGTCGCACCACAGAGACGGCACGCCCAGCTGACGTCTTCGACTGCAGTAGCTTGTGGTGCCGTCGTCTTTCCAGAAAACAGTTCGATGGGGCGCAGACTGCTCGAAATGGAGTATTTCATGCGATGCGCTGCATTCCGTGATTCCCGTACAGGGAGGATGATACGGCGAGTCGAACAAGGCTAGCACTCCAAGCGACACTCCTGCATGCTGTTTAAGGGTCGCGAGGCTGTGCACGCATGAAGTAGATTTCAACCTCCAAACATTGTTGCTTCGCCGCACAATCGGTCTCCGACCTCATCTTCCATCCAATCTACGGCTTATCGTAAGCTTCAACCGTCTGACTGCAGCTCAGTCACCGATGTAAACTGAGCTTGCAGTAAACCTGAAAATGTCGAGTAAGCAGGCTCACGATCCTGGCAAAATACTGAATCGCCCACACAAAGACGAGTAAGGTAACCGTCGGTGTTGATTCTCTTCGCTTAGACTAAGGCATCTGCGATCTGTATGTCTCCTTGCCCTGTTGCTTTGTCCCATGATGTCAGCGTGACACTGCGCATGTCCTTGACAATGTAATCTGCGCCAGCTTCTATCAGCTGTTCTAGCGTATGTGTGGTGTAAAGTCCCACTACGACGAACCCTGCTGCCTTTCCAGACTTGACGCCTGCAGGCGCATCTTCGAAGACAATGATGGAAGATTTGTTTTCTTGGAGCCCCAGCTTCTTTGCACCCATCTGGTAGGGCGCCGGGTCTGGCTTGCCGTTGGGCACATCTTCTGCCGTTACGAGATTCTTGGGGTGCGCCAGCTTCATGACATCGAGCCAGCCTTGCACAAGAGGTCGCGTGCCCGAGGTAACGATAGACCATGGAACAAGGTGCTCTTCGAGCTTGTCCAACAGAGCTCGTGAACCGGGAATCTCAATGGCGTCTTGTCCGAATTCTTTCGGAATCAACCCCTCTGCTTGGGAGATATCTTATCTGTCAGATGCATGCTTTTGTCAAAATGAAGATATGGCACTTACACTCCTCATTTGCGAGCTTTGGCTCATAGATCCGAAGGACGTCGATCGACCTTCGACCATGTGATGAAGCGAGGATGACATTAGGATCGACACCTATCTCTTTCCCAATCCTGATACAGACATGTAAGCTTCGAGACGTGAACATTCTCGGCTGTTACTTACTTGTGCCAATGCTTCACAATGGCCTCTGTGGAATCGATGATAGTCCCACTACCTATATTAGCTGACTTGTGAGATGCTTTCAATGAGTATCACGCACTCCATATCAAAGAGCTGCAGGCGATGAGATATTAGTATCAGTTTGTGATGCAAGTGAGCGTGCTTCTTACCAAGCCATGGAAGGGTATTGTTTTGGCAGGTGCCGAGAAGGAAGGCTCTGATACAGTCATGGTCTGAAGTTAGAGATGCGATGAGCTGGTTCTCAGTCAACAAGGTCAAGATGTCGCAATGATACAGTGAAGTACCCGAGCGGACTATTGTAGATGTACACCTGGTGGGAAAGAGAATACGTTATCGCGCTAACTCGTTCCGGTATCGGATCCGACAACTGCCGATGATGCAGCCAATCATGATGACGGCAACTAAAAGATGCTAGTCCCGACGCTGGACATACGGCCGGGACGCCTGGTCTCAATTTGACGTTCTAGAAGATGGATAGAGGGTAAAGATGGATCTATTTCCATTTGTGTTGTTGGAGAGCGTGAGAGTTGGGTATGGCCAGTGCCGCGGGGGTGGGGCTAAAGCTAGCTAGGCGGACACAAGCGGCAGAACTTTTCACGTGCCGAACTTTTTCTGGATCGCCTAGAACTTTTCTGTAGACGATTGCGATAACATACACCACGCCAACAAGTCAACATGAAGGTCGGAAGTAAGGCTTCTCACGGAATACAGCCCCGTTATAGAACTAACGATCATTGTAGAGCCAAAGTCGAAGCGCGTACCCGTGCGGTTAAGGCACAAGATCGAGAAGGCTTCAGCGGCGAAGCAGAAGAAGGCGAAGAAGCTTGCCAAGAAGGTACTGTCATCATGCGCGACTACAGCGCTCGCATTCTGACGCATATAGGACCCAACATGGCGCTCCAAGACCAAGAAGGAACCCGGCATTCCCAACCTGTTTCCCTACAAAGACAAGATTCTCGCAGAAGTGGAGGAGCAGCGCAGGAGGAAGGAAGAGGACAATGCACGCCGACGCCAGCTAGCGAAGGAGCAACAACAGAAGGGCGCAACCGCCGAGGATGTCATGGAGGATGACGAAGAGTTTGAGCAATTCGATGCTGAAGGCGATGAACTACTTGCCGACGACAGCGAAGACGAGGATTCGATGCAGGTGGTAAGTCTAAGTGGCTAGTATACGATGCGCGACCGTACTAATGTCATGCAGGACAACAAGTTCAACCCCATGGCAGCTCTCCTAGCTTCTGCCAAAGCGCGCGCCGCAGAATTCGAGAAGAACGACGACCCAGACGCCATGGAAGACAGCGATGACGACGAGTCGGATGACGATGATACCGTCAGGGTCCGCAAAGATGCGTCAAGAAAACAGTTCGACAAGATATACAAGCAGGTTGTCGACGCCGCGGATGTTGTTCTGTACGTGCTCGATGCTCGCGACCCAATGGGAACACGATCGAAAGAGGTGGAGCAGGCCGTCATGGCAGCCGACCGTTCAAGCAAGCGCTTGATATTCATCCTCAACAAGATCGACTTGGTCCCACCGCCGGTACTACGCGCATGGTTGATTCACCTACGTCGCTCATTCCCTACTCTTCCTCTACGTGCGTCAAAATCTGCGCCTAACGCGCAAACCTTCGAGCACAAGGACCTCTCAATCAAGGGAACATCCGAGACACTCTTCAAGGCTCTCAAGACCTTCGCTGAGTCCCGTCAGTTGAAGCGCGCAGTCCACGTCGGAATTATTGGATTTCCCAACGTTGGCAAATCGTCCGTCATCAATGCCTTGACATCGAGAGTAGGCGGCAAGGCTGCTGGATGTCCTACCGGTGCTGAGGCGGGAGTTACCACCAGTTTGCGTGAAGTTAAGATTGACAACAAATTGAAACTCATCGACTCGCCTGGTATCGTTTTCCCCAACACCGAAGGATCGAAGGACAGCAAGGTACAACAAAAGGCGCGCCTGATTTTGCTAAACGCTGTACCCCCAAAAGAGATTGATGACCCTGTTCCCGCTGTCAGTCTGCTCATCAAAAGACTGTCATCCTCGGAAGAGCTTTTCTCGAAATTGATGGCAGTCTACGATCTACCTCCCCTACACGCTGTGGGCAACGACAGGACGACCGACTTCTTGGTTCAAGTAGCAAGGAAAAGAGGCCGTCTGGGCAAGGGCGGTGTACCCAACATGCACGCCGCGGCACAAACCGTCATCGTCGACTGGAGAGATGGTCGCATTCAAGGATGGACCAGCCCTCCCAAGTACACCCCTGCGGAGCCTGATACCACCAAGACTGCACCAGCTACGAAGGGCGGACTCGTTGGCGATCAGAAGGAGATCGTCAAGGAATGGGCTGCGGAGTTCAAGCTTGATGGTCTATGGGGTGATGATTCAAATGATACGGCGATACCAGAGGCTATGGAGGAGTAGGCAGCTTGTGTTGACTGTTATGGCGAAACGGCGTTCGTAAGGCTATAGTGCTAGTGTACTTGACTCGCACATAGGAAAAGCTCCGACTAAACATCGGGCCTAGCAATGATACATGTTCTTCAAACGATATTGCATTCCTGACCCTAGACGTTTTAGAGCCTTCCGATGCAAGCCTTGCGATGAGCGTATGTGGATCGTGTACCGCTACTGACCGAATCAGTTTCTGCGATATCGGATCCGCATCGTACCATAGTACAAGCGAAAAAGTTCTCTCCAAGCTGCAACCCCACACCGATGGGAGTGTTCGGCGATATGTTCGCTCCCATAGGTAGGTTTCGCCGCCCCACACTTTGGGGTGAGAGCCGACGGAAACCGAGAGCTCCATCACGTCAAGCTCCATAGCTCAAGATACATAACGACGCGTTCCTTTAGATTTTTGGTCAGTCAAATTTATCATCACACACACGATGGGTTCTTCAAAGGGTCTCCAGCCTCTGCGCTCTGCTTCCAAGACTTTGAATGCGCTGCCCGCAGCCTATGCTGGCGCGCAGATCGCATCGAGACGGTATGCGGGGACGCTCGCAAACTTCAAGATTCCTACTATCAACAACGAGCCTAACGTAAGATAAGAGACGATGTATATGTTCAGAATCAATTTGCTGACTCAAAATTATAGCAACATTATGCCAAAGGCTCGGTAGACCGCCAGAAGCTTCAAGATGCGGTTGCACGTATGAAGAAGCAAGGACCAGTACAAGTACCTCTTGCCGTAGGAGGAGAATACGTAGGCCTTCCACACGCACATACAAGTCTCGTGTCACTCTAACACCATTCAGATCAACAACTCCTCAATCCTCACTCAGAACAACCCCTCCTCCCACGCCGACGTTATCGCCAAATACTCCAATGCCAGCGCAGCCGATGTGAAGAAGGCCATAGACGCAGCCCTAGCTGCTAAGCCAGCATGGGAGGCACTTCCCTTCGCCGAACGCGCATCCGTGTTCCTGAAGGCGGCCGACCTCGTCGCCACAAAGTACCGATACGAGATCATGGCTGCGACCATGGTGGGACAGGGCAAGAACGCGTGGCAGGCCGAGATTGACTCAGCGGCTGAGCTGTGCGACTTCCTGAGGTTCAACGTCAAGTACGCGGAAGACACATACGGACACCAGCCCACGCACAACTCGCCAGGAGTCTGGAAGCAAGTAAAGCATCTGTTTATAGCTCGGAAACGAAACTAACAGGTACAGCCGCGTTGAGTACCGACCTCTCGAGGGCTTCGTCTATGCCGTGTCACCATTCAACTTCACAGCCATCGGCGGTAACCTTCCTGCAGCCCCAGCTCTGATGGGTAACGTCGTCGTCTGGAAGCCATCGCCATCTGCGATCGCCTCGAACTGGCTCCTTTACCAGATTCTCATCGAGGCCGGCCTTCCACCAAACGTGATCCAGTGGGTGCCCGGTGATGCTGTGGAGGTAACCCAGGAAGTCCTGAACCACAAGCAATTCGCATCTCTGCACTACACCGGTAGCACAGCGGTGTTCCGTCAACTATACGGAAAGATCGCGAACGGTGTGGCTGAGGGCAAGTACCAGAGCTACCCCAGGATTGTTGGTGAGACAGGAGGAAAGAACTTCCATCTCGTCCACAAAGATGCCGACATCCACAACGCAGCTATCCAGACCGTCCGCGGTGCATTCGAGTACCAAGGTCAAAAGTGCAGCGCCTGCTCCCGTCTATACGTACCCGAGTCCGCCTGGCCCGAATTCAAAGAGATTCTCGTCCGTGAAGTCGAAGCCCTGAACATCGGCGAGCCCACCGACTTCTCCAACTTCATCGGCCCCGTCATCCACGAGGCATCCTTCAAGAAGCTGTCTGGCGTCATCGACGAAGCCAAGAACGACAGCGAGCTCGAGCTTGTCGTGGGCGGCAAGTACGACAGCAGCAAGGGCTACTACATCCACCCAACCATCTACCGTACTAAGAACCCCAACCACCCCCTTCTATCCCGCGAACTCTTCGGCCCCGTCCTTGTAGCCTACGTCTACGACGACGCTGCGCCCAACGCCTTCGCCAACATCATCAAGCAGATCGACGACACGTCTGAGTACGCGTTGACAGGCGCTGTGTTCGCAAAGGATCGGGAGACTATCAAGTACGCGTCTGAGAAGCTGAGGGATGCGGCGGGTAACTTCTACATCAACTGCAAGTGCACGGGTGCAGTTGTTGGACAACAGCCTTTCGGTGGATCAAGGGCTAGTGGAACGAACGACAAGGCTGGTAGTGCGAACTTGCTCGCGAGGTTCGTCAATATGAGGGCGATTAAGGAGGAGTTTATGCCTACGGAGAAGGTAACGTACCCTAGCAACGAGGTTTAGGTTGGATCACGCAGCCTCGATTGATGGAGAAAAGCATCGCATGTTCAGCTAGCATTGGCGTTGGCGTTGGATTGGATACAAA